TATGTCTACATTATTATTTTTGCTGATCAGATCTTTATAGATCCTACGTTCTTCGGCATATTCGTTTGCGGTCCTTTGCAGTCCCTTGTGTTTTCATTTCACCTGCCGACTCCGTTCGGCGGAATGAAATCCAGAAAACCAAGCGCATGAATCAAGAAGTGTGAATGTTCTTTTTTAAAGCCTTCTTTTCGTAAAAGTCTAAAATTTAGTTTAGTTTATCTTTGTATTTAATCACTATTTACTTTGGCAAGTTTAATCGCTTTGTGGTCTCAGGCGTTTCTAATGTAGTAAAAAAAATGAACTGGGCTATCAAAACATCTGCGCGCGTAGTTTTTTTAGGACATACGCAGTGCTTCTTGTTGTAAACGATTATTGGTTCGTTTTCTTACAGTTAATCATGATCAATTTCATTGGAAAAAATGGTGTACGCTTTTGGTGTTCAAAAAGGCGGATAAGTGATTTACGTAGTCAATTAGCATGCGTCCTGCTCCCTGAAATAAGTTTTCACTTTGGCTACCCTCCCCCTACAGGAAGGAGGTATAGTGTTCTTTAGATTAAAGTCACATTTCATGTAGTTTTTGAAATGTTATTTCTGACGAATGAGCCCACGAAGAAGGCAGAAATAAATATTTTGACGGCACGAGATACAACAGGGCCTGGACACTAAGCCGGGTGCACCATGGGTAGCCATATCGTGGGTATATAAGGCTGCGTATATCACGTGTACGTCATCTAGGCTTCTGAACCAACCTTTCTTTGGTTTTTTGTTTATTTTATTTCATTTTTTTTTAGGAGCAGTCTATTCTCGATTACATTGTAAAGTCTCGTAGGAAAGGCTTTGAGCTTGGGCCTTGGTTCCTACCCAGATTTCCTGCCAGCACTTTTTCCCTTCGGGTTTTTTTTTGGGCAGGTTTTTTCTAGCCTCAGTCCGACCGCATCTGTTTCAGTTGTAAGCGGTAGCTCAGCTCTGATAGTTTTCAGCTTTTTTCCCGTTTCTTATTTTATGTACTTGTTCGGTTTTCACAGTTGTGAACCTGTTCCTTTACTTAAAATATTTACCATAAATGTATATGAAATAAATCATTTGATCTTTAATATATTTAGTTTCTATGTATGCTTAGGTCAGCTGTCCCGGGACCGCTCTTTAAGTGGCGAGATATGTCTAGCTTGACGCAGTTAGATTGTTGGCAATAGAGCGGTTTTCATTTGAGTGTCGAAAAGTAATTGGTTTTGCACTTTCTACACGATGCGATTGGCTTAAAAGATTCGCGCCACCTTTTCATCCAATCAGAAGTAAGACCAAAGCCAATTGTGACGCGCTTGCATGCATTTTCCCGCGCTTTGCGTCAGCCACATGTAATTACTTCGAGTTTTGATTGGTTCAATGTATTGTCTGTGTCCTATGTGATTGGCCAGAGTAATTACTTTGGTTTTGGTTTTACGACACTCAAACGAAAACCACTCTATTACAGACTTCTTGTCAGGGTCGTTAGCCATTTGTTTACCCTTGATGTTGTGCCCTAGCCTTAAATTTCTGGTAGCTGAACTGGCAATTGGCCTACATGCCTTATTGGGTACGTAAGTGAACGATTCTCAGTTTTTTCCCGCTTCTCAGCCTCTGCGGTCCTACAGTGTTCCCTGTGCCAGTTATCCGTTGATAGTAGTTTTATAAGTTTCCTCAGACTAACTGGCAGCCTAACTGACACTAAGCCTGCCTGCTTAAATGGGGATTCAGGTCGAGATCGACCAGATGTAGCAGTTCTTTCTTTTTGTGAAAGCTAGTTAATTTATGAGTCTTGTACATTAGTTATTTACCTATTGCCGTATTTCATACGTACTTTTAGGGTTGGTTCTCGCCAAGCCATCCCAAAATAAACTTATTTGCCTTTACATTTTGTCTGTTGATGTTGTGTAGAGGAGTCAAAATCATAAGTTTTGTGCGTAAGATCAGGCAACACGTTTTCTCTTCTTCTGTTCGCTTTAAGCTGATCAAGACATTTCTTTACACCAGATGACGAGAGATAAAAACAAGCGCTCGCTGATCACAGTCAGTCGTTATTTATTTGACTTTGGAAACAAGAGTTACGCGAGGAGTCACGGACATGGAGGCAGGAAGCTTCCTATAACACCCCGTACGCCAATGTAATTGTTTTTCCACATCTCAGTCTGTCTTGAGATTTAGCTTCCCCTGGCGAGAGATCTCAGTACTAAATTAATCATACATTCTACTCTCGGTCTCACCAAAAACACATGAGTAGAGACTGAATACAGGTCTAGGACAGAAAAGTTTGCCTTAGCTTGGATTCTGGCAAGTGAGGATATTGATTTTGCCGTTTAGGGGTAGTGTGGTACTGCTTGAAGAGGGGTGGTACTGCTTGAAGAAGGGTGTTATTTTAAGAATAGTTGAGAGAATTTGGTTTAAGATCAAAGCGTTCTCCCTTTGGTAATCAATTTAGTAATTCTCATAACCTTTTCTCTTGTTGATTTGCTGTTGTTGTTAGGAGAAAATTCATGTTGGTCACTCTTGAGACCTAAAGGGTTAATAAGAACAGAATCAAAGAGAAAACAGGACGCTTATTGTGTTTACAAATACTCAGGTTATTGCGTGTGGCACTTTATGGTGAATAATTTGCATTCTTAGGATTAAGTATAATCTAGCTGGATTTGTGAAAACATAGCTAGCGAGATGGCAGCCTCTTGATTGAAGAAAGCCAAAACGCAAGTTTTTTTTTTTTTTTAATTCCTACGCGTGATAAGCAAGAAAGTCACACGAAGAAAGGGAAAGGAGAGGGAATTGCGAAAATAGAGGGAAGTGGGAGAAAGGAAGGCGGAGAAGAGAAAAGAGAATGGTTGCTGCCTTAGTTTTTGTATTGGCTACTTATTTGGAGATATTAGCAGATAAATTATCTAATGGTCTCGTGCTTTTGACCTCGGCTGTGATAGTCATATGAGATAAGATCAACTTAAGGGTTTCGAGTTCTTGTCGCGTTGTTTTTGAAACAAAGTCAAAACACTACCTATATTGCGAGCGGTTGACACATCTTCTTTGGTTAATTACATCACAATTCAAGGCTTTTAAGGCGTAATCCATCAGGAAATTGAGTGATTTTAACTTTCAGTGGACAAAAACCTTGTACCAGAATAACTTATACAAGATCGCATTCTTTTTTGCAAAGGCTATAGATGTAATTAGTTATCTGTAATAACACCAAAGATAATTTCTTATGAGAGCCCGAGAAAATAAATGTCAAATTTCACAAAATGACAAAATTTTCAGAATTTTACCTGTGTTTTCAGAATTCTTGTAAAATTTTACATTTATTTTCTCGCCGCCTCCCTTGAAAAACGTGAAAAAAAAAATGCGATATTGTTCAAATTATTCTGGTACAAGGTTTTTATTCACTAAAAATTTAAATTACTCAATTTCCTGATGAATTCCGTCTTAAAAGCGACAAGATCTGTTTTATACCCTCTTCTCTTGTATAAGTGTAATGATTTTTAATTTGTAGCCGTGCAGTTAATAAACGTTGAGGTGATCTAAGTTTGTGTGTGGTACTTGATGAAAAAAAATAACGAGGCAACACCTTCTTTCTGGAAATTTCCATTGAAACGATTTCCGTCATTACTAGGGTGAAGCTATCAAGTTTAACTCAAACCCTAAATTAAATTCAGCTTATATTATTCACTGAAGCAAAAACAGGTGGCACCTAATTTTCAATATAAACAAGTAAAACCACCGGACGTTTTAACTACGAAAAGACGTCAAACATTTTGTTAAGGTGTTCTTCTCGGTGATTCTTTGTTATGCTAATCCTAGCTAACACTTTGGCATCTGGTGTTAAACAACCCACTTTTTCCACCACTTACTTTACTTAAACAATGTATTTTTAATTATGCTAAACTTTCGCATGCTCTAAGTTACTTAAAAACCGTAGTTTTTTTCACCTCTCTAAAGTTTTGCCGAAATGTGTAATTTTAATGGGAGTCTATTAGCCTTCAGTTTAATACTCATTTTCGTCTCATTTATATGCAGATGTACTCGCCATCGGTAAATTTGTCAAATTACTGCAAATAGAAACTATCATCTCCTTGGGTATAGCTAATGCATGCCCCTAGGGCTGTCCCTTTACAAAATAGTAGGGGCGGAGATCAAAGTCATTAAAAGCGAATCTCATATAATAGCAAGAGACTGAAAACTAAAGATCATTACTACAAAGTATGATGGAAATATTACAACTTGCAACAGCTTAGTTTATTACAAAGTGCTATGGACGGATATTCCTTTTCTTACAAAGTGCGACAAGGTTTATTACAAATTGCGACAGGCATTACAAGGAGTGCGATAGAATTATTACAAATCGCCCGCCGGGTATTACGAAGTGTGATGGATATATTAAACAATTATTGGATGAGATTGAGCATGATATCATGAATTATCAAAACCGAGGTCTGTGTTATCTGCCGAAGCCTTCGGCTTCGGCAGATAATACAGACACGAGGTTTTGATAATTCATGATATCATGCGAAAACCGAATTCAATAATTGTTTTATTATCCTTTTTTAAACAATAGGTAAAAGAAGACATTCAGCCATTCTGTTTCTGAGGAGAACACTCCAAGGGGCTTGGTAACCAGGCAGACGTTGAACTTGACATGATAAATGCAATATCTGTTTATCATGTCACGTTCACAAGCTATTGTGAATTGATTGAATGCTCTCGACCAATCAGATTTTTCATAGTGAGTCTGATGTATAATAATAAAAATTACAACACGTAGCACAAAGTGCGATGATTATTACAAACTGCCACAGAACAGGACAGTACACCCTGTTGATAAAAACCGCGCTGGTAGACGGCAGAGATGAATAAAGTGATTTCCTCGCTCATTTTATGCTTCATCGTTCGCGCAGTTTTAGCAGCCGAGAAAGAATCTAGATCTGCCTACATCAAAACGCGAGAGAACAAGCGTTTACATGGCTATGTTGTCAAGAGAATTGATTCTATGGATGAAATGTCGTGCAGTCAAGCATGTTTAAGGCATTCTTGGTGTACCTCTTCCAACTTCAAAGAGTCCTCGGGAAATTGTGAGCTGAACAAGCATGAGTTTTCTCCAACTGATGATGGCACCAAGCTCACTGATAATCCAGGCACAACGTTTTCAATGTTTCTTAAGGTAAGAAACATTCTGAATTTTCATTGCTTAGACAACAAAAGCCTCCCAAACAACAAGAACTAGACTCCTGCACCCAGGCTAAGGCCGACAACACGATGTATAACAATTCCGTCTAAATCAGTTTTAATACATAACTGTGCGTGCGAAGTTAAGTCATGAAAAAATAGGAAGTTGGTAAAACTGTACAGTAAAGTTGAGTGGTTGTAAAAGGTGCACGCATTTCAGTCATATGTTTCGTATGGGAGCTGGCTATGTTTTCCCTTTCCCAAACTTTTCAGCTCCGCAACAACAAAATCATTATCGAAGGCAATGTTTTCTTCCCTAACCAGAGGCTTACTTGCTTTGCAAATAAAGTTAAGAGAAGTATAGAGTGCAAACAACTATAAATGTTAAAAAGAGGAAAGCACGCTTAGAGCCGGCAATTAATCGGTGGAATTTTTTGTGCTCAACATTATATTTGCGTTGTGCCGTTGAAAATGCCGTTGAAAATGCTGTTGTTGTTGTTGGATCAGTCTCGCTGTCTGCAATTAAATGATCTGTATGTAGTTAGTACGTCGCCGCCCCACTCCAGAGAAAGAGTGGCTAAAACATACAAAAAGCTGTAGGAAGTCTATGGAAAACGATGTCGGTATATCATTTTAGCTTACCGAAGTAACTTATGAACATTTTCCTCAGGGCTGCCTAATGGCTGGATGCCTTAACGGAGGTTCTTGTTTGTTCGACGAAGGGAAAGACACGTTTGCTTGTTCATGCAGTCCGCAGTGGAGAGGAGAAAAATGTGAAATGGGTAGGTCCAAACTGTTTTTGTTCCTTAAGTACGATGGACTATATAGGAGAAGAGTGAAAGACGTACCCGGCTGAAAACGAAATCACACAACTTTCTATACTTTATATGTGGCAGTTTTTTTTAGAAGCACTGAGGAACGAGTTATAATCTGCTGGCTGGTTTTCTCTGGCAATGTAGTTGATGTAGTCCTCACGGATTAATTTACATCCCGTGTAATATATTAAGAAAACTGGTATGTAACGTATGAGACTCATTGGCCTTAAAGGCTGGTTTTCACTAGCGACGGAGTCGGAGTCGGAGTGGTAAGCGGAGATGTAAGAGCGCTTATGACCTAGTGAAAATCAAAAATCGGAGTCGTAAGCGGAGTCATAAGCGCGACTGAATCGGAGTCAGAAGAATCAGAACGTTTCCATTTTCTTCCGACTCCGCTTACGACTCCGTCGCTTACGTTCCGCTTATGATCTAGTGAAAACCAGGTTGTTGGAGTCGGAAGCAGAAGCGGAAGGATAAGCCAATCAGAATGTACGTTCCCACGCTTTGTGACTGGTTTGGTTCTTCTGCTTCTGCTTCCGACTCCGACAATCTGGTTTTCACTAGATCATAAGCGAAACGTAAGCGACGGAGTCGTAAGCGGAATCGGAACGCTGTTTTCACTAGATCATAAGCTCTACGCTTCTGATTACGACTCCGACTCCGACTCCGTCGCTAGTGAAAACCAGCCTTTACCGTTAGCCTCGAATGTGGAAAAGACATTAGATCTGGCCAAATTTTATGTGACGCTCAAATTACGGTAAGTCGGATACCTAACACCTGGATTAACCCAACATGACGGCCGTTTTTAAAGAGAGAATTTGCATGCATAGATAAATATTTTGCTTAAGGCTTTTTTTGCGAAAAACTGTTCGATCGTCTGAGGAAACAGAGTCTAAATAGAAGTATAAGTTGTTTAATAGTTAGTCGTAAAGGAAACAAAGTGGCAATGCGCAAACTTGGCACAATTCAGTATTTGTGCTTTTCTCTGTCGCTGTAGCAGTTTCAACCCACCTTTGCGCCGTTTGTCGCCATTCTGCTGCCGTTTGTCGCTGCTTCAAGGCCATTTCGATTCAGTGTCGAAATTTAACCTAACAGGGCCTCAAGAAAGTGGCCAAAACAAGTGTATGCGTAATCAACAAGGAACACCCAACGTCAATTTTCGGACGGTATCTGTTCGGAAGACATCTAGAATTTTCGGAACATTTGTTGCAAAATTTCTTGCTTGCCTTCCTCTCCTAGGATTTTCGAACATCTAAAAATGGTATTATTGCCCATTTTTAGCCGATTTTTACCCTAAAAAGGTCACCTAGAATTTTCGGGAGCCGTTTTTCTGGCGCAAATTTTCGAAAAGGTAAGTTTTGATCCCTATAATTTTAGGATCACTAGACTTTCAGCTAGGAAATCCAAACAGATGAAAAATTCTTAGGGGATAAAAATATGCCTGTATCTACGGTTTAAATACTAAAATACGCTTAACAATGCTATGTTTAAGTGGTTTTGTACTATATTCTCGTTGGGTGCTCCTGATCAACGGCGACGCACCTAATAAGAACAAGAGAGAATGATCGGGGTGAAACTATACAAAACACCACTGTTGTATGGGCCTGATGGGTTTAAAGTTTGAAAACAAAAAAAAAAGGAGTGTGAAAATAAGACGATACCATTAATGTTTTGTATGCGCCTAATAAGTCTGCATTGCCAGAAAAACTAAGTATGGACTTTCTCCTCCGCAGGGGCCTCTTTGTTTTGTGGGAGAGCGCGCTGGGCACCCCCGCGCTTTTTATTTTTTCGATTATTGCTATTTTTATACGGATACCTAGCAGGAGCCTCTGCAGAGGAGGGAGGAGTATGGACTAGTCTGACATGTCACACGTCCCCACCCCCTAACCCGTGGGGGGTACATCTCTCTTCCCTACGCGTGGTGTGTCGTCTGCTTAGCCACCTCCCTTATTGTGGCACGCAATCAAAGAAAACGGTAATCATCAAAATGATTTTCTACGAAAGATTTCAACAGACGATTGAAGGAATCATTCAGTAAAAATTATTTTCTTCTAAGTTAAGCAATGCATTCTACATGCTATTTTGCAGACACAAACGAGTGTGAGACAGACACGCATCACTGCAGCGGCCAATGCCTTCTGTAACAACACTAAAGGCTCTTACATTTGTACATGCAAACCAGGATATATCGGAAACGGCGTTAACTGCACAGGGAAAATAAGCAAGCGAAAACCCTCAGCCGATAGCCCTGAATAACCTGATTTGAATGAGGCTGACTTATGCGAGTTTGGGGTTATATATTTTAAAAAGTGGTGGTGTCGTAAGCGGGAGCCGGCGAATCCGGTGATAAGAGTAAGGTGATTAAACGTTAAAAATATGTGCATATTCGGCAACAATCATTTGCCGGATTCGCGGTTTGTTATCACGGCTTTTTCTCTTTTTTCCATGACTATATTTTGCTATCTTCCGCAAAACTCTCCTCGTGCAACTTTCTGTCATTTTTATTAACATTTTGCTTTGTTCTATTGGAGCATCTTGACAGCCGGCTTAAGGGGCTAAATTAAAAAAAAAAAAGGAAATAGCCCGTTCGCTAGCGATGGTGGCTTCACTGTCCAAACAACCCCAAACTCTCAAAAGTAAGCCAGCTCGCAGACTAGTTTATCGTTTATCTCGCGGTAGTCGTTACTTCGTTAAACTACTACCTATCGACAACACAGCTGCAGATTAGTACTAGTATGGACCGTATGGTTGGTGGAAACCATAAATGAGGCTCGTAATGCTAATCACTAGCAACTAAGGGGGGAACTGTTAGCCCACCCTCACTAGTACTCGACACATTCGCCTAATGAAGACCAGAAGCACGCAGTTTCAGAGGCACCCAACGGCAATTTTCGGGAAGATATCTGTTCGGAAGACGATTTGAGATCTAGAATTTTCGGAGCATTTGTTGTAAAATTTCTTTCTTGCCTGCCTCTCCTAGGATTTTCGAACATCTACAAAATGGTATAATTACCCATTTTTAACGCATTTTGACCCTAAAAAAGGCCACCTAGAATTTTTCGGGAGCCTTTTCCTGGCTGAAATTTTCGAGAAGGTAAGTTTTTATCCCTATAATTTCGGATCACTAGACTTTCAGCTAGGAAATCCGACCAGATGAAAAGTTTTTAGGGGATAAAAATATGCCTATATCTACCGTTTGAATACTAAAATACGTTCAACAATGCTTTGTTAAGTGGTTTTGAACTATATCCTCGTTGGGTGCCCCTGCAGTTTGAAACGTCGTGAATGAATAAACGTTAAACTAGCATACCTAAAGGGTAGAAATGCTGCCGTAGGCAAGGAATAGTGAAGAAATGGAAAATTAAGAGTAAAGTTTTTAGTAGAAGGTGATGTGAGGCTAAGAGGGCTTAATCCAAAATCTTTGTCAGTGATGACCTAAATTTAGAAATTATCTTCCTTTTGAGTATCGCGTTAAAGGTGAATAACTAAATTATGAGCCAGTTTTAGTATTTTTCTAGCGTGCTCGCGTGGCGTCAGAAGTGGCCAGATAATTCTCCATTTTTGATATGTATATCAATCATTCTCGCTTGCAACCGTGACTGAATGACTGAAACTTATTTTGAAGCTTTGATTTGGCGATACGAGAAAATTTTCTAACTATGGTGTTCAGTCTTTCTGTTCGCACAAAAATCGAGCGTTTTCCACGAAACTTAAAATTCTTGAGTTTAAGACTGTTTATTTCATCTGCCAAGTTTAAGTAAATTTGTTCGACTGTGATCTGCGCTACAAGATAGGTTTGAGAAACGACCATGAAAACACATTAACTTGGCCAACCATGTCACGAATCAAACACCAATTTAAACAATTTTGGAGGGCAGTTATGTTCAAATTTTGATAAATACATGACATAAATTTCGGGCTCGTAGCTCTAATGCTGCTTGTGTGATTCCCTCTTAGAACAGAAGAAAAATTTGCTTGAAAAATAGTAAAGGCTGCGGCTATATGGCCGGTAACCGGTCAAGATTTTCAAAACACTAAATGACCGGCAGTCCGATATTTTTTTCAATAATTTTTTTCAAATCGAAGAATCCCAGCCAGACCAAACTATCATACGTCGATTAAGAATAGACTGTGACAGACTTAATTTATGATCGACAAATGTTGTCAAAGTGTAAGTCTGTTCAATTTCAAAGGAAAAAAATATTCACTCGAATATGAGCGGATTCGATCCCGGAGCATAGGGTCTGCATACCACTACTCTAACCACTAGACCACCGTGGTTTCTCTGCAAGATGGCGATTTTATTCAAATATTATAGCGTAAACCCCAACCCAAAATAAAAGCCAACTGCTAACCCTTATCACAATTCTCAGGGCTTAACCCTAATCAGTTTGGTTAGTGCTTCAGTTAGTACTTTCAGTGCTTAACCCTAATCATATAGTCAAAATATCGGACTTACAAAATATTGCATTTTGTGAAAATATCCTTGAAAGATATAAACGGCTGCTTGCTCCATGCAGTGATGCTATTTCTTTGTCCATATGCTACGCTATTTTGCTGGTCTTAGCGTGTTCTGTTTTCCGAAAACCAACCAAAATATATAGAGGTTTCGAACTTTTCTTTCATTCTGCCTTGGCATCGACTAGGATAAATTTATCATGAATGCTTTCGATTCTCGGTCGACAAGTGTCGGTCAACTGCAAAAGTATGCAGCACGTGCAAAGATTTTTTGTTTTCTAATTAGACCTGTTGTTTCTTTACTTTAACGAGATTGCAAATTATTCAAATTGCAGTTGAAAATCAATGAAAGAAGAAAGCACGTGGTAATCCACTGCGCATTCTAAATCTCCCATTCGAGCATAGCCACAATTCCTTGCGAGTCTACTGCGCATCCCAAATCTTCCATTTGCACTTAACCAAAATTCCTTGCGAGTCCATTGCGCATCCTAAATGTTTCATTCGCACATAACCACAATTCCTTGCGTTTGGCAAGAAAACGTGATTCAATGCCCCTATAATGTGATTTTTTGCCGATTAGAGAGCTGCCTCGTTCGCTCGCTTCAGGCTCGCTCACTGCGGCAGCAAAAATATGTGCATATTCGGCAACAATCATCAGCTGGATTCGCGGTTTTTGTTACGGCTTTTTTCCCTTTTTCCATGACTATATTTTGTAAAAATTTAGTACAAATTTCCTCGTGCAACTTTCTGTCATTTTTGTTCACATTTTTCTTTGTTCCTATTGGATAGTATCTTGACACCTCTTAAGGGGTGAAATTAAACAAAAAAAAAATAGTCGGTCTGCGGGCTCGCTTTTCTCCGCCCCATTCTTCCTTGCCAGTTAGTGCTAGTGGCTCCACCGCCAAAACAACCCCAAACTCTGACAAGTAAACCTGCTCGCAGAATATATAACAATTATTCACCTCAGTGTCGGTGGCTAGTGGTGGGTGGATATTTACCGAGGCCGCGAAGCCACCGACACTGAGGTGAATAATTGTCACCGTGAATAATTGTCACCGAAGCCACCGACACTGAGGTGAATAATTGTTATATATTCTGCAAGCAGAATATATACTAAAACATTGAGATCACTGAGCACAAAAATATAATTTTTAACTCATTTACTGTTGCCAGCGATTACATTTTGGCGCGCAATGACCGAACGGCCGCGGTCGTCGCTTTTTCTTACCGACAAATAAAACTTTTTTTGAAGGCATTTGTTTAGCTCTTGCGGGGAAATTTCTTCAAAAGGAGTTGTGAATTCTTTTTGTATTTAAAATCATTCTGTAGAAAAGATTATTGAATTTAGTTTTAAGCTTGTTTATGAACAAGTCAACTAAATAAAGTAACGCAAGACTAAGAGAAATTTGCATTTGTAAACAAAAAACTTTTTCACCGGTTTTGTCGATAAATTTAAGTAAAAACTTCGTCACCTTCTTCGTGAATTTCGGGAACAGCTTGCTTGATTAGTTTTCGAATTTCTTTGTTGTTAGGGCAGCAAACCGCGGGAAGGCATTTTGCTCGCAACTTACGCGAGTTTGGCGTCGCTCGCTCGGAGGAACTGGAGGTGAATCCAGGATATTCACTGATTGAGTAGCCAATCAGAGCGCACGAAAAACACTATCCACTGTTTCAATATATATATAGATTTAGCCAGGGCCAAAAGTGAATCTCTCGACAATAGTTTACTCAAACAAAATATAAAATCGTGTAATGCTTAGTACGTGGCGAAGGAGACTAGAACGGTGAAAAACAACTCTTACAATAGGTCTAATTAGCAAGCAACTTTGCGGTGCAGCACACCTTTTTTGTATATTTCTATGCCGTTGTTTTGCACGACTACGACGTGAAACTTTCGTGCAGAAACTTCCTGCGTACAACTGGTTTCACGTTTTATGGGGGAAATGTCGTACGTGTCCTTGCTCGCTTTTTTTTCACTGGCGCACATGGCGCTCATTTTCACCTTGCATTTGATAGCCGCTAGGATTTCTTATTTTCTCACCGCCGCTACAAAATTTTCATGTTGTTCTTTTAACAAAACAAGTGTCTCTCACGTCTTTTATCTCTCCCTCTCCCCCCCTCCCTCTCTCTCTCTCTCTTTTCGAGTTTCATTGCGTTTTTTCCGTCCCATCACATGAAATTTTTCCCGGCATTTTTTCTGGGAATAGACGATTTTCTTTACCATTTTTAGATCTTGATGAGTGCGTACAAGGATCACATGATTGCCTTCAAAGCCTCGCGTCTTGTTCAAATACTGATGGCTCGTTTAAGTGTTCTTGTAACGACGGGTACATAGGTGACGGAAAAACATACTGCCAGCGAAAAGGTAAGGATGTTTTCATCTTTAGTACGTCGGGGTTTATCAGTCTCCAAGGCAGTCATCATGGTAATCATCAGGGAATAGCTAAATGTAAACTTCAACGTTTGAAGTGGGCTGACTTTGATAATGATGATCATGGTGATGGTGTTGACATAAGGATAATCTCATTGATAATGAAAATGATGATAACTACTATTATCATTCGATGCAAATGTTTCTTCCTTTGCATTGGCCGACAGCCCGCCACGTGACCTGCAAATAACTGCCTACAAATAATGGTGTGCTCATGCGCAATGTCGTTCAACTGTAAGTTTTTGGCTTAAGTTTTGGCTGCAAATACTATTCTGCTCATGCGTAAACGAAACCACGCTTTCCTCCTACTTGCGAGCGCTCTTTCGTGAAAATGGCAGATCGCTTCGCTTCCCGAAGATATTCCTAAAGCACAAACTCGGTGATCGAATGATAAAACAATTATTGAACTCGGTTATCGCAAAATATCATGATTTGTCAATGTCTCGCAGATCAATTATTTGCAACTGCTCGCCACTGACAAATCACGATATTTTGCTCACCCTCGTCCAATAATTGCTAATTATTGGTAAGAGCAGGAGGTAAAATTGGTGATCACGGTGATGTAGATTGAACTGGCTGCTTCACAAAGTAAAGAACATAGATTTGCGATTTTTAATATACTAACAATAACTGTCCTTCTTTAAACTTGGAAATAAAGTAATTCATTTGTCTCGTGGTAAGAAGTATTTTTTTTTACCAATTTATAATCCCCTTCAAACATTTTTTAAGATGCCACTGAAAATTCCTCTCTCCCCGCCCCCTGTGGTATACGGAACGAATATGGACTGCCTTTGGTACATGTTTAGAAATGAAAATGCGAGAATAAGCAAAGACGGCGACGCTAGAGCGCTGCCATTTCTAAAGCTGCCTTATGAATCAGAAACAGGAAATTGCGTAATAGAAAAATATTTGTCTTTCTCTTAAGATTTCACCGCAACATTCACATGTGACAATTCAATGGAAATGTTTGCTGACGGTCAAAGCCTCGGAACGGATAGTATTTGGCAAAACCCCACCACCTACCTTGTACCAGGAAACACTCGAGTTCTGTCAGTAGCCGGGGAAGACTATGGCGGCGTATATCTCGGAATACTCGGCTCCACTAGCAACGGACTGGTAACTAATGAAACTTGGAAATGCACCAGTGTTCTGTATCCCGAATGGAATTCCCTGGATTTTGATGACCAGAACTGGCCTTTGGCAAAAGTGATTGCAAACCATGGTGCAAGTCCTTGGGGTACACTAAATGGCATCGCAGTTACAGCTAAGTGGATATGGGGAAACACCAACAGCAACACTACTTATTGCAGACTGCCACTACAGTAAAAAATTAGTACGTTTGAGTTTAATCATGTCGGTAGAGGTCAAGAGATTTTTGATTCGAGCTCATGTATTCATAATTTGCATCATTAGTCTTCGCATAGCAAATAAGGTATCCCTTCTTTTGATTCCTTAAAGGAGCCAGGGGCACCCACTCCGCAGCGACTGTTTTCTGTAAAATATCTGTTCGGAGAAGCAAAAATTGCCTAACATTTCCTACAGTTTGAAGAAGGCCAAAAATTTCTAGATGACCGTTGCATTTATTGACAATTCTCGTGGCGTATCTAATAAATTCCCTATACGATTTTGTAAAGTTTAATTTCGCACTTTAGTCCCCAAGTTAGCCTATTTTTCGTCGAAAAAGGAAACCTAAAATTGTCGGATTCGAAAATGCAATGGAGAGAAGAATCAGAAAAATTCTCATTTCGGTAAAACTTAAAATTGCATCTACAATTTTCGGGAAAATAATACCGAAGCCCTTGTAATTTCGAAAAGACTCAAGTTGCCCTCGGAAGACCGAACCAGATACAAGTTTTATAGCGCCGCTTAGAATCCATTTTCTAGAGATCTAAAAGTACTCTGGATAGCCTAAAAACAGTTGGAAACCTGCCACCAAATTGAGTGAAACATGAAATGGCCGCTCAAAACGTTAAAAGGAGGTATCAATAACACAGCAATCTGAAAACTTTAAGCCTAAGTTAATTTTTTCAAGGTTAATTTGTTGTTTGTAACGTTTGATCACCCAGGAACCGATTACCCGCAACCTAATTTGACATACTGCATGTAATGCTTGGCATAAACAAGAGCTCCCAAGTCAATCTTTACTGAATAGCTGCTTCCGATAATCCAGAAACGTCCACTCATATAACACAAGATGTGCTTCAAAAGACAATCTTTATAACATTTGTTATAGAACAAACATTGGCAAACAAACAATATCTGCAACGGCAGTAGATCTCTGGCAGGAACTAACCCCTGACTTTAAACGCTTAAGTACTCCTCTGTTTTTAAAAAAGGGTCAAAAAACTGTACTTAAATTAAGCAAAATTCTTCTTCTGACATCTAACACCAACTAGCACCTCATTCTTCACTTCTTTTGTGTATATGCTATATACTCTTAGCTTTATGGTGTGGCCTTTTTGTTTGTTTTTTGTTTTGTTTTGTCTTTTGTTTTTTTTTTTTTTTGCTTAGCCATTCTTGCTACGCTTTAGGTTATGCTCATCCATTACATTTTTATTTATTCCTTATTTTCTGTCTTTTATGTATTTTCTCTCAATTAAGCTACATTTCAAATATACATGTATACAGTGTATCTCTATAGTGATAGGAAGGATTTACTCAAAGTGTTTTATTTTGAAGTCAGGACGCGTTTATTAGCTATTAGTGTTTAAATAAGAAGAGTTAAGCTGGTAATTAATAACATTTTAAAGTTTTAGCTTTCGAATGTTCGCTTTCGAATGTTCGCTTAAAGTTTCGCACTAGCAATAAGATTTTTACAAGACATTTTACTGTGTTTACAATTAGCCGCATTCAGCTGCATTCATTAGCCGCATTCAGCTGTGGCGGCTCGTGCTAATTTCAAATGCTTTGTTTTATGCTTTTTCGTGCTTTGCCAACAGCGGCCTATTCATAGTACCCTGGCTCCAGAGGCACGTTCTCAAAATACCTAATGTTAAATAAACCGTGCTTACGGTTTGATAAGGCTCCCGTTTTCTCGGGGCGTTTTGCGCCTCGTTGACGCGGCTTCGCCGCGAACGATCAGTATCGATAAGAAAAAAAATATCCTCTGGAACCCAGGGTATATTCATAGTACAAGCAGCACAAACCTAATGAGTTTCCTTTTCGTTAATAAGTTTATTTAATAGTATTAGTTCAACTTCAGTAATGATTTCTAAAATATTGGTCTTCTGAATAGTAGTGCTCTACTTTAATTTATTTTCTTAAATAGCCTTATTCTACAAAAGAGCGGCATTTCACAGTAACACATTGTCAAGCGAATGTAGCTCGTCTTTAATTCAAGTATTCTTGAACGATCACGTAGTTTCTCTGCAAATATAATGGTTCTTAGTTTACTTCCGTAAATAGTCGCTTCGTCTAAATTTAGAATTTGAAAAGGTTTGCTGACCTGCAAATCCGGAAAATGTCTGCTTTTGTTGAAGGTGAAAAACTAGGCAGTTAGACAGTTCTGCTACGTGCCCAGCAAGCCGCTAGCTGACCTGGCAATTCTATTCACATAGCAAAATTACGTGCCTAAAAGCTGCCTTGCTGACTTGGCAAACTTTGCTAGTTTATTGTCCTAGTGCTTTTTACTCCTAAGATAGAATCCGCAACAATAATTTTCGCTTAAGTTCAAACGAGTTTTTTTGTATATCTATTGTACTCTTTTGTGTTGAATACCTGTGGTAATGGTATATATAAGTAAGTTAGTTTGTAGATTTTCGATTACACCGATTATATTGTCAACTACTCAGATTGCTTCGAGTACGTGTACAAGAATAAACACTGTTGGAACCAAGTCAGGTTTGTCTTATTCGCTGCTGCATTCCAGTTAGTGGTTTGATCCCGGTCCTAGAAGCTGTGACGGTTCTTACCTGCAAGCGAGTTAGTTGCCCTTTGATTTTAGTTTCCCCCGCTTAGAAGACAGTTTCCAGCGTTCAAACCCCGAGTTCCCGTTTAGCCCTTAAAGTCGTTCGAAAATGGAAAAACCTTCCGTCACATTGTGTTGACCATTAATTAGATTATCATCTATAAGTCAGTCAGTGGAATCGGTTGAACGGGGCTCGTGGGTCGGGATTTTATGGTGTACGGGATGGGAACTGGTCAGTTTAGCGTTTTAGTTACTTCCTTTTATCGGCCGTCGGCTGTCTGTTCTGGCAAACTCCTCGTTTTCTTACAATATAATATATCTATCTCTTGATATGTCTAGTCTAATTTTCATGGCAGCCCAGTGAACGCCGTACGGCGTCTAGTTTATTCCATAGCCTGGGGATGAGGTACTTCAGGGAGACGCCTACATTGAAGATTTTCTTTGCACTGTCTTTTCTTTGCCCGCCTTAAGTAACTTATACCGTTGTTAGGGCAAAAGAGCAAATTTTTATTGTGGAGCGTGTTGGGTAAATAAACTTTGCGCGTTCTAGACTAATGAACTTTGTGCGTACTAGATTCACTAAACTCTGCGCCTGCGTGAGCTGCAAGCTGTATGCAAAAAGCCGGCTACACGATTTAGCGTTGCTTCTTCTCGTTTTCCTTCTCGGCTTGTCTTTAGCCACCGAAACGTCGACATTTAAGCACGCTCACGACGGCGACGGCAACGGCGACGAAAAAGGCTGACTTTAAAAAGTCAATTCGCGTTATTATTCCCCTCCTCCGCTGTCGTTGTGAGATTTGTCAAATATATAATCATAGTTATTAGAGGAGACTGGTTATGAAAAGCGGCAAACATCAATGATAAAAACAACAGTGCTGCAGTTTATGTTGGAAGCACCCTGAAAGTGCACAATCCTTTGTTTTCTGTTGGCAAATTGTTACGGAATAAATTAATGCAACGTTTTTATTGGTCAATACAATCAAAACGATAGGAATTCTTTTGAACGTTGTGCACTTTCAGGTCCACAAAAACATATAACAAACGAGTCTGACGGGTTTCATAACCATTCCACTCAATTAACTATGGTATCCCCAAGCGACCATGTAATGCTCTGTGTATTTTATAGATACTGATGAAATTCTTACATAAAACACAACTTTTTTTTATTCATTTTCGAAACAGCAAAATAGTGCAATTAAAGTGGTTACCTATCGCAAAATGCCTGACAGAACAATGTTATGAAACTCGGATATAAAGCTATAAAGGAGAAATGAATACAATAATACTTATATTTTCTGTTTCAAAAAGTCAAAATTCTAATGAAGAAGAGAAAAATTATGTTAGTAGCCATGGCGACACCAATATCCTCACACGTGAAAGATAAAGATAGTCTCTTCACTGCGCGCGATGAAGATATGATTTTTTAGTAAAAGGAAAAATCCTGGTATGTCATCAGTATCTATATAATAAAACGTTATATTAGGAGATTTCACGTCGTAGCCGTGCAGTGGGGACCTTACGAACTACTACGGTGACGTCGACGGGGAACCTCAAAAAAGTAATAGGTTTAATGAGCACCACAACAACTCTGTACGTGCATCACGCATTTTTGTAAAATTTTTTTGCCGTCCCAGCAAAGTGACTTGGAATGACCAAATTCTAAGTTGACTTGAGAACGGGAACAGCAAGGCGATAAATTCTACCATCTTTGTCTGAACTCGGGCGCGGTCCCTTCTCCTCAGCTCCAACTTAAATTTCCTTCTTTCAAATAACTAGGTGCAGACTAGGGATAATCGCGAAAAAGTTTGAATACCTGCGAAGAGTATTTTTCATTGGCGTCGCCATTAGAGAGTTTTAGATCCGAGTTTACCGAGAACCTTTAACCGCGGGTTTGCGGCTACCCGTTTGCCGTTCGACGTTCAAACATAATTCGATTTATATTGGCGGTGGATTAAAGAAGTGGATTCTGTTTTTTTTTTCCATTTAGAAATAGAAGAAATATCAGTCAGTGAAAATCAAAGAAATTTACGGTGACACTGGGTTATCTAGCAGCAAAGAACTGTAAATTGTTACATTAGTTCTTCCTGCACATTTACGGCCGCCATTTTGAATCAGCAGCCATGAATGGTACTTGTTTTCAAGATCCAATGGGATTTATCAAATTTAGCATTTCGCCCGAATTTGTGCCTCTGTTAATGGATAAAGACTTGCTCCACAAGAGTTTTGTATCATTACGTGGGATAAAACAAGAATTATGCGCTAAAAGCTTTCAGGTAAATGACATACGTGAAAACCTCGCCTCCCCACGTTGAAAACGCACGTCGTAAACCTCAAACGTGACGCGAAAGACTTGTCACGTGACCTCCAGCGGTTAGAGGTTCGCGGTAAATTCGGATCTAAAACTCTCTATTGACGTTTT